TATATAATTTATATATATATATATATATATATATATATATATAAATTTTTTCTTAGGGTTTATATTCTTATTTTATTATTTATTTTATTAAATGTTTTTTAATGTTTTTGAAAGACGTTTTATGCTCACCAAGGCAGCATTTATTTGATCAAAAGACAGCAATATTGTGAAATATTATTACAGTTTAAAATACCTTTTTTTTTATTTTGATATATTTTGATATAAATGTAATTTATTCCTGTGATGCAAAGCTGTATTTTCAGCATCATTACTCCGGTCTTCAGTGTCACATGATCCTTCCAAATCATTGCAATGTTGATTTGGTGCTCAAGAAACATTTCTTATTATTATCAATGTTGAAAACAGTTGCGCTGCTTAATATATTTTTTTTGTGCGAACTGATTTTTTATTTCTTTTTAGGATTCTTTGATTTAATAGAAAGTTGAAAAGAGCAGCTTTGATTTGAAATGGAATTTATGTAACTACGAAACAGTCTTTATTGTTACTTTTGATTAATGCCTCCTTGCTAAATAAAAGTAATGATTTCTTTTTTTTTTTTACTTACCCTAAACTTTATATTTTTTGTTTATGAAAAAAGTAAGTTAGAGTTAATTTATCATGTTATCTTTTAAAGTAGATATTCACCCAGGAATTAAAATACTGCCTTTTACACAGCCTCATGTCCTTTCAAACCCATATTACTTTCTTTCTTTTGTGAAATGTAAAAGGAGATATTTAGAAAAATTTCCTTTCAATTTTATTTAGTTCAATAATTTAATTAACTGAAAATCCACCTGCCATAACTCTTTCAGCTCTTTTAGTGCATTCAGCCTCGGTGGTGAAGGTGAGGAAATGATCACAGAATTTCAATTTTTGTGTGAACTGTTCTTTTAAGAGAGACTAGATAAATCAATAAAAAAAGAGACGAGTCCTTGATTACATCATTGGTAAAATCGTTTAATCCTGATCTTAAAAGAATGTATTAGCCGTTTTAAGTACCTTCATCTTATAAAACTCGTCCTTTTGCTGGGATCTCCTCTCAACATCAACCACAGACACTGAATGAGTCATCGGAGCAACTCAGAGATTCATCCACTGGATATCACATATCTACTTTCAATAGATGTCCTCTGAGGTCTCCAGCGACAGTATCTGGCCTCTCGAGAGATAATACAATCATAACAGACAAACTACAGGATCCAGCTCACTAAAACACCGTACTGCAGTCTTTAACAAGCCCCTGTAAAGACTGTCACATATCTGATAAATAGAATGCATTCATAAATTTAATCTCAGCCTCATAAAGCCTCATATTTCCTGCTTAATGTGGCCAGATGTGGCTGTTTCGGTAGATTTGCTTGTTCTCCCCAGGCTGCTAATGTGTGCTGGTCTACCACAAGCCTCTCAGCATTGATAAAGGGCCATTTGAGTGTCTGAAGTGCTGAGTTGTATTAAAGAGCTGAGTCTTATTAAAAAGCACTTATTAAAGAAATTCTGTCATCGTTTACTCACCCTCATGTTGTTATTAGGAGTTATTGATGTTGAAAGGAGCTGTGTGTGTTTGTCAGAGGGAAAGGTGATATTAATTAGCGGGGTTTTGAAACCTCTCACCTTTGAGAGCTCTGTTAGGAGTCTCTCTCAACTTAACTCAATCACCACGACGGCTCCAACACCTGCTTATAAACAGCTCTTCAGCTGAAAAAGGAATCATTTGCACTCTGATCAGGGGAATGTGATGCTGTTCTGTAAATCTACACTGTCAGTTGATTTCGGCACACTTCCTTTATGAGACTTTATGAACTTGTGATGTCAGATGATTGTTCTTTTGAACTGGTTTGCAGTCAAACTGAATCACTAAACATCTGTGAATCACTTGACTGTATGAACACTTGTCTGGGAGTTCAACAGATATATAACAAATTAATTAGTTCTCTCTGTCAAGTCATACTGATTTGCAAAGCATTTGTGAATAACTCATAAGAACTGCATGAAACTGAAAGATGGGTGACATACTTAAAAAAAACATAACTGAAAACTGATTCCCCCCCATGAATTAAACCAAATGTTTTAATTAACTTGCTATAATTTTAATACATAGCTATTTTTGAAAAATAAATGTTTATTATTAATAATATTTTATCATATTATTTACTATATATAATAGTAATACAATATATATATATATATATATTTCAAACAAAAATTATGATAATATTATTAAATAAGCTAAATAAACAGTACCTAAAATTATGTTAGTTTTGAAAAATATTGAAAAATTATGAACTATATAAAACTAAGGTGGGTGATATGCTGGAATAATAAACATTTCATAAATCTGTTATGCAGAAACTTAAGCAAATACACTTTATTTATAGTCTATATTTTATTAGACTATATATTTTAAATATTTTATTTATTTTTATATAATAATAATAATACATAAAATAAAAATGATATAAAGTAAATATAATTATATTAATATAAATTTAAAATAAATGTTTTTAATAAAATAATGAAATTATATTAACTAATATTAAAAAAAAAAACTTAAATTGTTCTTAAATGTTTTTTTTTTTAAATACCTTATGATTCCACCTTGTCACTCATCTCACAGTTTTACTCTGACAAATCTTACAAGTAATTAAAGTGATTCTTGATTTGACTCATTTTTGTTCACCAATCAAATTTTGCACAAGTCATTGCATAATTTTATAAGTTTACAAAAATTCTGCCCATGGTTTTCTGGGAACGCTATTGAGTGATGACTGACACTAATCAGTTCTGTCAACTTATTATTTAACCAAACAGTCCAAACACACTATTTGACTAAAATGAATCAGAAAATACAAACACCACAGTCCCTCATTTCTCCTCTTGCTGATTAAGACTGAGGACACAGTGAGGGCTGGCTTGGCAGGAACAGATATAAATACGCCTGCACCCTTCATCACCTTTTAATCAAGAGAGTGATTACGCTGTGGCAGTGTGTGCGTCTCAGAAACTCTCTCTGCTTTCCTCCGGCACTGATTTAGACAGTGTCCACTAGTCTGCTGCCAGGGTTTATGTAATATTTTAAATACGGCCCTCTCAGATAACACTTAGCACTCCTATGTGACTCTCCTCTAGGACACAGCAGTGATGCTGACCTACTGTCTCCATCAGTATCATGCTCATCTGTGTGGATTAAGTCTGTTAAGATTATATATTGAGATCTGTTTTAGCTCATGGCTAGCTAAAACGCCATCCCGTAAAAAAGCTCCCTACTCAAAGAGCTCCACTGTACTCTGAAGGGAAACTGTTATCGCCCCATGTTCTCCTACAGTCTTTTTTTCTGGTTTAAGGGTGGTCCAAATGAAGACTAAAGAGTTCCAGGTTATTGCCCTTCCACACTAAAGTCTTAATACGTCTTTCTTGTTTCTCTGCAGGCATGCTAACCATCACAGATTTCATCAACATACTTCACAGATACTACAAATCACCCATGGTACGTAATGCATTCTGTCTTTTTTTTTCTTTTTTTTTTTTTTTCTAGTTTTCAGAAGAAATACTGATCTCTTAAGGCTGGGACACACCAAGCTGTCTTCAAAGAACTAGCAGCGACGAAAGCCGATGGTGTTGTCGCCTCGCATCGAACGAAAAAGCTGCGCTCGAACACACCGCACAGACTACAGCCGACGGCAAACTAACACGTGCGTTCTGCGTATGCGTGAGAGGAATTAACTGTCTATATCAGCAACTATCAATAGTATATATTTGTCATTCAAAAGGAGAAACCGAAACAAAGATATATGAGATAATCGTAGATATACGAAACGTAAACAAAGCAGCGCTTGCTTACCATTTTGAATATCAGTAACGTTGATAACTTTAATAATTTTAAGCGGCTCATGTTGTTATGAAAACATTTGCGTATTAGAATGATTGGGAAAGATCACGTAATATTTAAACAGTCTTCTGTCTGTACCGCCGCCTTTTACGTGCTTGTTTTTTATCACTCTCGCTTTAATTCTCAGGCACTGACTCTCGTTCACTAAACTGAACATCCAATCAGAGTTCTCACTCACACCGACGGCCCCGATACCGATTCAACATGTTGAATCTGGCTCGACGTGAGCCTGACGAGTGCCGACGAGTGGAACACACCAAACAAGCTAGCCTGACCGTCGGCTTGGTGTGTCCCGGCCTTTAGGCCGGAAACATACTCTCAATTTCAGACTCTATTGTGTTAAATGTCATAGCTATTTAGCTATTCATTATTTTATTATTATTTTATTTCTTTTCTTATTTTTTTATATAGCAGAACATTATATATGGCATTTCTTATGTTATTTTTTTCAAATTTTCAGCAGAAATAGTGAACTCTTAGGCCCGAACCATAATCTTGATTTCATGAACTATTTTATTTTATTTTATTTTATTTTATTTTATTTTATTTTATTTTATTTTATTTTATTTTGTTTTGTTTTGTTTTGTTTTATTTTATTTTATTTTATGCCCCAAAACATTACTGCTCTAGAGGAGATCTGCATGGAGGAATGGGCCAAAATACCAGCAACAGTGTGTGAAAACCTTGTGAAGACTTACAGAAAACGTTTGACCTCTGTCATTGCCAACAAAGGGTATATAACAAAGTATTGAGATTAAATTTTGTTATTGACCAAATACTTATTTTCCACCATAATTTGCAAATTAATTCTTTAAAAATCCTACAATGTGATTTTCTGGATTTTTTTTCTCATTTTGTCTCTCATAGTTGAGGTATACCTATGATGAAAATTACAGGCCTCTCTCATCTTGCACAATTGGTGGCTGACTAAATACTTTTTTTCCCCACTGTATATGGCAGTTTAATGTTATTTTTTTCTAGTTTTCGGAGGAAATACCAAACTCTTGTGTCCAAAACATATTCTCAATTTCAGACTCCATTGTGTTAATAAATGTCAGTATTTTTTATTTATTTATGTGTCTATTTATTCTTGTTTATTTTATTATTTTCTATATGACATAACATAAGGATGGCCAAATATAAAGTAATTTTTTCTAGTTTTCAGCAAAAATACTGAACTTTTAGGCCCAAAACTTCTTGATTTCATGCACCATTGTGTTGAGAAATGTAATTAATTTTTTTTATTTAATAAAAAAAAAAAAGTGTTGCTTCGTCTCTTAATACTTCAGTGATATGAAGTGTACATGTATACAGTAAAAGTGCTGCATTTAGCTTTGCTGGCTGGCAGACAGGCTGTTTATAGCCACGATACTTTTGTGAACCTCACATCATTTCAAATAACCTACAGCGCTCTGCCATGTCTGTGCTCAGATCACACCGAGCTCAGGAATCAGAATCAAACATTCCAGAAACACCTCAGCGTCTGTTGTCTTTTGTGCTAATAATTGCTCCTCAAAGTCATTTTAAGTAGTTGTGATGTGATGTGGATGGTAAATAAATTGCTTATTTTCTAACATCGTTTATGAAGTTATACAGCTGTCATTTAATATTTTCTTTAATTTACGATATGGAGTTGCTTCTTCTAGTACAACTTCTCTTCCTGCTCATCAATATTCAGAAACTCATATCCTTGTTTAGCATTTTGTTCTTAAATATAGATTCATGTGAATTTATGCAAGAGCAAAGAAACCACTAATCACTTTGAATAAAAGCAACATCCTCTCATCCTTTCACACCCCATCACTTCTTTTCTGCAGACACAGGAAGTAGTTGAAAATGCTGTAAAGCTTCTTCCTGCGTTTAGAGGAAAGGCAGCTGTGGCTTAATTATTTATATTCATATGCGTATGCAAAATACTGACGATAATCTCCACTAGACTGACGCAACATCCTTCAGAAATCATTGTAATATGATGATTTGGTGCTCAAGAGTTTTTTTTTATTTTATTTATTTATTTGTTATTGTTATTAATATTGAAAACTGGTGCTTTTTTTCAGGATTCTTTGATGAATAGAAAGTTCAAAATAACAGCATTTATTTGAAATAGTACTCAGAACACCTCATGGGTTTGATTTGGCCCACATTTAAATATCAACACCAGTTCAGTGTTTAGCAATTTAGCCTGACCAAAAAAACAATCCAGTGAACTATGAAACTATTTGAAAAGATCAGCCTGTCTTAACAGAAATCATTTACACCCAGAAGTCTTAAATGTTAAAATGTAGCACATAGGGCTGGGCGATATAGCTAAAAAAATGTATCAACGATATAATGTTTCATATCGTTCGGTATCGATAATTATTGACATTTTTTATAACCTTTTTTAAAACGAAGAGCAATAGATTTATTTTTTCATTTAACCACTGTATTTTTAAATTAACCCAATTTATTGAGACGAACAACAAATAATTTTGTTTTAACAATCAAACACAAAATAAAAATGAAATCTCATTTCTAATGTTTTATATGCAGATTAAATAGGTCTTAAAGAAACTTTTGTCTTGTCTCCCGAGGCCACAGGAGGGCGCAATGAGCAAAATAATGCAGCGCATTTAAATTGTCAACGCAAGGAAGTAACTCTATAAAAAAACATGCATTACGTCTAAATAACTCATAAAAATCAAATATAATTTCGTAAATTGCATAAACAATAGGCAGGGGAGCTTTAATTAGGGTTGGAGCTGAGCTTTGCAGGGCTGCGGCTCTCCAGGACCGGAGTTCGCCACCCCTGCTATATAGGATAAATCACTGTACAGGATTTACCCTATTATACTTTTTCGACACGAATTGATAGGTGAAACAACAAACAGCCACCCACAAATAGTATAGAAACAAAGCATCAGGCTGTCTTTAAATTCACATAAAAACCGGTTAAAGTTACTCGTCGTCAGGCAACAGAAGAATACCATAATTCCTCCGTTCAGTTAGACCTAAGACATCGAGAGTCACGCAGACCTATAACAACCCAGCCACAACACATAATTGCGAATAACAAGCCATGCTTTTATGATTAGTCATGTGGGTTTAGACGTTAACCTGCATCAGCAGTGTGGTGTGGCTCGCTGTGTCTCACTTTCACTCAGTCAGCGTTACGGCTCTTAAAGGTTGGGACTACACTCCTGTATCTCTATCTCTTTTTACCAGTTCCAGGAATCAGTACCTAAAGCTGTTCTTAGTTTCTGAACACACACCTGTACCTCATCTGTCTGAAATTCTCACTAGTCAACAGATGCTGTCCGATTGTGTTGCAGAAAAAGTTTTTTTTGTTTGTTTTTATTTTTGTAATTGATGCAATGGTTTTGGTCAAATGAGGGATATTAACGTTCTCTTTGCTCACAATGGCTCAAGAATGCATAATATTATAGTTATAAAATATGCTCGTTTACATCATTATTATTATCATTATTATTAAACATTTAAACCTATTATTATTGTAAATTTAATTGTCGAATTATGCTAATAACAATAATAATAATATGTTATTATTGCTACTATAAATAAACATTAATTAAGTTACATATTGCTATTGTCACTTCATTAAGATTTTTATATTAATTGTTTTAAGAATAATTAGTAAAAACGATCATTTATAATAATAAAATAATTTATAATAACTATGTAATTGTAATGTTTAAATAATTATGATGTGATGATGATAATAATAATAATAGTTGCCTATAACAATAATAATTATTAGAATGTTGATTATTATTGTTATTTTTATAAGTATGGTTAAGTTATTGCTATTTTACTTTACATAATTTATATTTTTATATTTTTTTAGATTACATTAATAGTTAAAAAAAATTTATTGTAATAACTATTTTATGTATATATAATTATTTTTAAATGTATTATAATTTTATGTAATTATACTAATATTTAAAAACACTACTACTACTGCTAATAATAATAATAATAATAATTATTATTATTATTATTACTGTATACTGTGAGAATTTTGCAATTTGAGTAACAATCTTTTGTTTTGTTTCAGGTACAAATCTATGAGCTTGAGGAGCATAAAATTGAGACGTGGAGAGGTAAGAAATCCTTACAGGTGGTTCTTTCCAGTGTTTGCTGTTTTGTTTTCTAGATGTTATTTCATTTTTCTTTCTTTTTTTTGACAACAGAGCTCTATCTACAAGAAACATTCAAGCCTTTAGTGAACATATCACCAGATGCAAGGTACTATGCCTTACTATGGGACGTCACATGCTGTAGGATGATCTTACATGTTGAAGAGGACATTACAGTGAACTGCTAGAGTTCATTTAGTAAACCGCAAACTCTTATCCTCTCATGTATTGCCCTTTCCTGTGTGCATTGTCTTGTTGGCTTATATTTTCAGTTTATTAAATAATTCAGTGCATGTCGTCTTGAAGGGCAAAACTCTGAATTTCATCAGGGTCCTCTGAAGTTGCCCTTCTGTTCCTCAGGTCACCGCAGTGAAATTGACTTTCTCTGTCACTATATTTTTTGTGCTTCAGCATATTTGATGCTGTGTATTCACTGATCAAAAACAAGATCCACCGGTTACCTGTCATTGACCCTGTCAGTGGAAATGCACTTTACATTTTGACGCACAAAAGGATCCTGAAATTTCTTCAGCTGTTTGTAAGTTCATCAATATATTCTATGTATATCATTTGTGCATTTAGTAAGGTTTATGTATTTTTTTTTTTTTTGCCGGGGTTTGAGGTTTAACTGATGTTGTAATAAAGCGAATGAGTAGGATGAAAAAGAGCAGAGGAAGGAAGGGGTAGAGCAGATGAAGAGGAAGAGAACAGTCCCTAGATTAATGTCATCTATCTGATCACAATTCCATGGCCGTTTAAATACTTCAGCAGTGTAAACCACTTCCATCTCTCTGGACAATGTCACAAAGATTTTGAAAGACAGAGGTTAGTTGAAGCCTCAGCAGTACAGCTTACATAGAACTGCACTGAAATGGGAAATAAAATGTACTTTATATACTAAAGTCTCAGAAAGTGTTTTTTGTTTGACAAACAGGGCAGACAGCCAATATAATTACTAAAATTATTCATATTCTTATGTTGTTTGAATTCTAAAATATTCAAAAGCTGACAGAGTTCTTGTGTTTGTGTGTCTCAGGTGTGTGAAATGCCAAAGCCCGCCTTTATGAAGCAGACACTGGAGGAGCTGAGCATCGGGACCTACAGCAACATCGCCTTCATCCACCCCAACACGCCAATCATCAAAGCACTCAGTATCTTTGTGGAGAGGAGAGTGTCAGCACTGCCTGTGGTGGATGAGTCAGGTATGATTCAAGAGGAAAAAAAGCCAGATTTTGTGCATTCCAATACTCTTACACTCATGAAATGACTTATTTAAACCTTTTTTTCTTTGTATTTTTTGCCTTTCAGGAAAAGTTGTAGATATTTATTCCAAATTTGATGTAATTGTAAGTATGTTATGTATTTATTTTATTATTGAGTGTGGAAAAAGTTTGTCCTGTTCTCCAGACTTTCATTATCTGTGTGTGTTTGTAGAATCTTGCTGCTGAAAAGATGTACAACAACCTTGACATTAGTGTGACACAGGCGCTGATGCACAGATCACAGTACTTTGAAGGGGTCATGAAGTGCAACAGATTTGAGACACTGGAAACGATAGTAGATCGGATAGTCAAGGCTGAGGTGAGCTTTTCTGCTGCCTTCATTTCTGTCTTCAAGGTTCATCTGCAACCTTGTTATTATGACCAAAGAATGGATATGTACTTGGTTTTATACGTTTTATTTAGCTGTTGTAGTTTACTATTTGGGAGATATGCTAGAGCAGTTCTTTGTTGTATGTTTTCTGCAACTACTCTTGCTCTATATAGAGGAAACTTTTTTGAGTTGTTCTTGGTAATTTATTCCAGAACAGCTCTTTGCAATAGCTATTATACATCTGCTCTTGGTAATAGTCAACAGTTGTACTAGCTCTTTTTAGAGGACATTTTGTAGAGTTGCTCTTGGTGCTATATTCTAGAGCAGATCTTGCTGATAGATAGGCATGTCTTCATAGTCTTTTTAGATATTCTGTAGTTTCTCTAGTTCACTGCAGATGAGATATGCTGGAGCTGTAATAGATATTGTACTAATGTTCTTGCTCTTTTTAGTGGAAAAATGTTTGGGTTGTTCTTAGTAATTTATTCTAGAGCATCTCTTAGATATACATCTGCTCTGGTAACATTTAGCAGGTGCTTTACCCCTTTATAGATTCTTTTTTTCTTTTTTAGATTCACTCTTAGTAATAGATATTCTGGAGCAGCTCTTGGTAAGATATTTTATACAGTGCTCTTGAAAACAGGTGATATTATAGCCTGGCTCTTTTTTCTAGATATACTATAGCTGCTCTTGTTCACTATAGATATTCCAGATAGATATTCTACAACTGCTGTTTGTCTTTATAGAGGAAAATGTTCAAGTTGCTCTTGGTAATGTATTCTAGAGATAGAAGAGATATTCTAGATCATCTGGGTAATAAATGCTGTAGAGCTGCTCTTTGTTTATTGTGGTAATAATATTCTTGCGTCACACTTGTTTCTAGATATTCTTTAGCTTTTCTAATTCACTATGGAAAAGATATTCTAAATCGTCCGGGTAATAGATGCTCTAGAGCTGCTCTAGAGTATTATTCTAGTGCCACTCTTGTTTCTAGATGTAGTAGAGCTGCTCAAGTTCACTATATATGGGATATTCTAGATCATCTGGGTAATAGAGGCTCTAGAGCTAATTTTAGCCTTTATTAGGGTCATATTCTAGCGTTACTTTTGTTTCTAGATATTTTGTAGCTGTTCTAGTTCACTATAGAAGAGATATTCTAGATCATCTGGGTAATAGATGTTTTAGAGCTGCTCTTAACCTTTATCGTGATGCTATTTTAGTTCAGTTCTTGTTTCTAGATAATTCAAGAGCTTCTATAATTCACTATAGAGGTGATATGCTTGAGTTGCTCTTGATCTTTGCTTTTGGTTCTCAATCTTTTAGAGCATATTTTGGAGCTACTCTAGGTCAGTACAGAGGAGATATTCTAGAGCTGTTGGCTTTCCTAGGTACTCTAGGGCTACTCTAGATGCTGATCTCTCTCTGTCCTCGGTCAGGTGCACAGACTGGTGGTGGTGGATGAGAACGGCAGCATCGTGGGCATCGTCTCTCTGTCGGACATCCTCCAGGCACTCGTTCTCAACCCCGCAGGTATCAATGCTCAGCATTCCTAAAGCACATTTCCAGCAGGACCCTCCTCTCAACCTCTCTCGCCCGAGCCACAGGTATTACCGCCACTGCTGCCGCTGCTGGGGTCAAGAAGACGGTGCATGACCGCTGCCTGGCTCATGATGTGTGCAAGGATGGCATGTGCCAACTTATACTTTCGGTTTCCACCACAGAACCAGACGTGATTGGCTTTTATTCCAGAGGGCAGTGTGTGTGTGTGTGTGTGTGTATGTATGTGTGCACGCCCACATTTCACCGCATCTGATTTTGATTAATGAGACACTTGCAGTACATCAGAGCCCCTCCCACTGCAGGGCTTCCCGTCTGCTGATGGATAGTGTCCTGCAGTAACTCAACCACTCACTCTGTGTCCTCTCAAACCATGCATACACATAATGTCGTAGGTCTTCCCAGTAAGATCATTATACATTTCTGCTCATAAATGTATATACCCCTTGCAGGATATGGAAGATGTTAATTATTTTAACGAGATAAGATCATAAAAATTGCATGTAATGTTTTTAATAATTTTCCTGAATAAGCTGTTTTGCATAACAAATTTTTACATATTGTGCTCAAGACAAAGTAATAATTGAGTTCAATTTAATAATAATTTAATGTCATTACCTGGATGATCAACAACTGTTTTTATGTTTTGTGATAGTTGTTCATGAGTCTTTTCTTGTTCTGAGCAGTTAAACTGCCCACTTTTCTTCAGAAATACCCTTCAGGTCCTGCCCATTCTTTAGTTTTCTAGCATCTTCTGCATATTTGAACCCTTTCCAACAGTGCCTGTATGATTTTAGGATCCATCTTATCACACTTATACAACATATAACTATTACAAAGGGTGAAAATGTTCACTGATGCTCACGAAAGAAACACGATGCATTAAGAGCAGGGAGTGTAATTTTTTACTTATTTTAATTTTATTTTTTCATTTAATATTGCCCTTCAGAAGCTACTTAAGATGTCTACCAGATTTCCAATTTTGTTACAATTTTGAACAGTTTGCATATTTTGCAAGTGGTATGTAAACATACGAGCAGAACTGCATAACCAATGAAATATGATGTACATCTATATACAACAGATCAGATGATGTGACATAATACACTTCTCTCTGTTTTGGCAAAAAACGCAAACATTCTGAATTTCCTTCTGAGAGGTGTGCTGGGTGCCTGCCTTGTTGGCTGTGAATTTATAACACTGCATATTAATTGCTTCTGTGAAGAGTGTTATGAATCCTAAGTTGCAGATGTGATGCTGCTAATATTGCAAATAGTATGCGCAGATCAAAAGGCATTCTGCCCTGTGGTACAGTCCTGCTCTGGAGATGTTTCAACTCATATAAAACACTCTGAACCAGGAAATCAAGATGATTTTGATTGAGCGCTGATGGATGATGGAAACAGAAGCGCTAAAATGTTCAGTTCTGGGTTTTAGCCTAAACAAATATGCCATACCTATTATAGTTCTTATTACTAGCAGGCGTATCACAGGCTGTCTGGAACTAAGTTAGGCAGGAATCCAGATCTCCGAGCAGCCCCTGTTGAAAATACATGTTTGTAAGCTGCCTGCTAGTGGTTGTAAGCAGTATTGCAACTCAAAACTGACCTCCCTTTTACAGTACATAATGTCTACTCTCTTACCTTTGCAGGTATGTCCAGGAAGGAGAGCAAAGCGGAGACGGAGTGATGCGTGCTGAGATTGCTGGGTCATGTGACGTTGCTGTCAGAGACTGAAGTAGACGCGGAGACCACAAATTTGGGCCACAAATGTCAGAATGAAAGCGTGGAACCAGCGAACTTGACCTAGATGTGTGCTGTTAGAGGACAAAAGAAGGGGTTTATGGGTACACGGACTGCTTGATTCGTCTGTTATCTGATTGATACATAGATGGACGTATTGGCCGCATGGGGCAATTAAGGTGAATCATCTCTTATTCAGAAGGATACTGTGAACTCTGCCTATTATATCACACTAAGCTTCTGCACGCACACTATGATAACTATACTTTTACCTAGTCCTAAAACTATGCCATCTGGTGTCTGAGTAGTGGTCTGCACACAGACTACGAATTGTACCATAATCGCCTCTGTTGAAGGGGGGTGTCTGTGCGTTCGCAGGGCATTCAGTAATAATCTCACTATTCAGTGCATGTTATGACTGTTTGTTCCTCGTGAATATATACGATTTTCGGCTTGTGGCGTATGAGCCCGGTTCACATATTTGTACTTTTGACTACTCCTCCTAAATTTAGGAACTCGTTTAGTCTTTCTCCGCCACAGTCGCTTTGTAAATGGAGACAGAAATGGTTTCCTCTGTATCGGTCTATGGTGCCTTCTGTCCAGCAGTTATAGCCCACTACTGGTTGCCAATAGAACAAGATTAACTGAATGTTTAAATATATCAAAGTGAATGCTACAGTTGTTAAAAAAAAACAAAATCCCCTTTTTGCTGTTTTAGTGTGCGTCGCTCATTTTATTTATTGCAGAGCTCTACATTTCTTCACTTTGAGTGTTCATTATTTTCTTGCTGTTTTTGAAATGATGCTGTATATGATAATTAAAATGTTTATGTATATTTAGCACTTTTGTAATTTTGAGAGTGATATCTAAGTGTGAGATGGAAAGATCTATGGAGCCCCTATGCAGTAGAACCACGTGCTGATCAATGACTTGATGTTCAATGCAATTCAATCTTAAAATCCCACTTTTTTTCCTGTCCATGAGGTGACTGAACTCTTTTTGTATCGACTGTGCTGTACACGCACGCAGAGCTTCTGTCTGAGGAATCTATGAGTGCCAGAGAAAGTCTATTTTTCTGTGTTTTAAATGTTTGTAGTACTTCATATTTTAAGTTCTCCTCATGTTTTGCAGCTATGTTAGTGTTGTCGTTATAAAAAGAGAAATGTCCAGAGATAAATGCATATCACTGGCATTAGATGCTATTGGATAACCATGCTTAATAGTCATTTTTATTTTATTTTACATTTAAATAAAAAAGAATAGACTAAGTCTCTAAAACTTTTTTGTATTGAGATGGTTGGCAAATTAGTAAAAAGGAAAGCATGTTTACATGTTTAGTGTATGCTTTTGAAATAATAACAAAAACATGGAAATGATTTGGCCTATGAACATTTTTAAAACAGTATTCAGTAATATTCTGGGTTTCCCATGTATAAATCTGTTAAATAATATCTTTCATGAATGTGACTGTTTTTGCTGACTTGTTTACTCAATTCCAAAGTACTGTTGGTTTCTGAATATAAATAATGAAATAAAGTATTAATAAAGAATTAATTAGAATAATTACATATTAAATTATTTTGATTGCAAAATGCAGCAGTGGTGGGAGAGTAAATCTAAAACAAGGGACTTTCCCTGCTGAACCCCCCCCCCCCCCCCGGTGTGCAACGGGGTTTGAGATGCGTTTTCTCTTGTTTGGGGTGGTCAAACATGTCAGCACAATCAGCAGCAACATGTATGTGAACCACGCTGTATTAAAGAGACAGCTCGCACAATGTAATTAACATCCAAATAAATTCACAAGAGCAAGTATATTGTTTGCACATGTTTATTTACATTAAAGGCAAAATAACTGAAATAATAAGGGCACAAGTATAGATCTGGAACTTCTTTAAGTCTGTCTAAATATCATTCAGTAATTGCAATGTCTTCTGGTCCATATCCTTTCCTTAGGAAGGTGTGCTAAATACTGATTAATGTAACATAAAAATACTATACATATTTATATATTTTGCTATTGTATTATGGAGTGACACTTTCATAAACTTTTCTATGCCCCTCTGATTATATAATGGTAAATATTAAAATATGATAGCACAACAACAGTGATCAGCAATGATGATAAGCTTAATACTCACAATAAAAATAATAAGGTCATATAGATCATAACACAGTCTCGGAGGTAAGAAGTGGATTATCCTTCCCCTGAAATGTTTGTCTTTTCATCCTGAAATGCGAGGCAAATGGATCACAATAATTAGGAACCACAGTTTCCACAAATTTGATTGGGATGTTCTCTTTTATTCTGGAGGGCAAGGGCAGTGGCTGTAACATCGAGCATATTTTGCAGTATTAAACACGTATTTATACCGATTTCATCAGGCTCCGAAAATTCTTCAAAAAGAACACAAAGAATGGCCTTCTTAGCTGCCATAGTTGCAACTCTTGCGTCATCAGAACAGGGTGTTCAAGGCATCACCGTTTCCGTTTAAAAAACGTTTTGCACCGTTTTTGTCGGGGCTGAACGCAGCCCTGGTTTTAGAGGAGGTTTTGCCACTTCTTTAGCTGGTCAGGCTGGGAGACCAGCTAAGACCAGCCAACCAGTTTAGGCTGGGTTTAGGTTTTTTTTCCAGCAGGGTTGGTAGGCCTAAATCTTGCCAGGATTCAACGTGACCTACCAGTTGCGCCTGACGGAAATACTTAAGCGATGCCTTCGAAACAACTTGCTGTTTTTATGTGCTAATGGCTATGTTTGGCAACTTTATTTATTATTGTTTTTGGAAATACATTATTTGCGGCTCTAGGAGGCCATTTCAATCAATAAGTTGCGGGCTTCTTCAGTTAGCCTACTTCACTGACATATGAAATATATCAGTTTATTGAACCTTTAGACAAAATAAATAAATAATCTAAAAATGACAAATTGTATGTTTTGTACAATTGGCTTTTATAGCCTAGTATGAGAATGGAGTTCATAGGTTACTCGAGGAAGAAAACAACGCATCAGTTTTATACAGAGGCACAAATTGAGCAAAAATATGCAGTTTGGCGCTGATGCTGTTATTTATATGGCTAAAAGGTAGGCTAGATGAAATGATGATACCTTGTAATGTAAATCAGTGAGATCTTATAACAGAATAGCAGACTACTTACATAAAATGCACTTAGCCTATACCACGACGTGAAGGTGGACACTTTTACATTTAGCCTACACTAAAAGGTCTTTAACTTGTTTAAAAAAAAACTCAATCAGAGGGGCAGAAAGGTAGTAGATTGTGTACAACAGGTTTTCTTTTTTTTGCAAAGTTTTGAACATGAGGTCTTAGAAGCTCACTTATCAAATAATATACTGCTTCGCAGGGTTAAAAAGCATAGCCTAAACATAATTCAAAGATTATGTGGCCATCACCAAACCTGCCAGACAAAATTATGTGCTACATTCCTATAGATGTGTTCATGAAACCATAAAGACAGAGCACGGAGGCAACTTATTGTCGACAAGCTCAGACCTTCACATCTTTAGGTAAATTCATATGTGGAATTGAGTAATAAATAAATAGTAGCCTTATTTATTAAATTTAAATACTCATTGATGCTATTTTGCAAACGCTTTATTCCAGATGTGCGTGTGAAATAAACTACACACTTAGAGTTAAGAAAGTTCCTTTGGAATGAAGCCAAAACATGCAAATTATTTCCTCAACTACGAATGTATAGCCTATTAACAATTATATCTTTTCTTTTTTAATTGTCAGCTAAATTTTAAAATTGTTCGCTTTTTGGATAATGTTAATCTGTCTAAAGTAATAGCGTATTTACAATATTTTGAACTTGAAATAACCTTATGTGCATAGACGAATCGTTATTTTATCAAATGTAATACTTTATGCTACTAATATCTCTATGTTTGCATGAGCATTTGTCGATTGCAAATATTGAAAGAATGCACGCGTCTTGATTTTATATTTAGATTTGTATTGTTTCACTATGCTCGATATTGATGTCAGATACTTTCACTGCATATCTGGGCATCACAAGCACAGGTTGTCCAGTCAGTCACTCTCAGTAATGTTCATCATGGTAACCATAGTAACTCCAGTGCCACTGTAGTATTCTCTGAACAGGACTCCCACTTTCATGGAAAATCTGGATAAATGAGGGAATTTTAAAAGTGTGGAATGAATAAAATGGTAAAATCTTAAAACAGTCAAATGTCATAGACATTTCTATTATCATTCTAAAGTTTTGTGTCAGTAAGATTTTTGAAAGAAATCACATTTATTTAGCAAGGATGCATTAAATTGACCAGTAAAGACTTTTGCATTCATTTCTATTTCAAATGAACGCTGTTCTTTTGAACCTTCTATACATCAAAGAATCCTGAAAAGAAAAGAATCATGGTGTCTTCAAAAAATATTAGGCAGCACAACTGTTTTCAACACTGATAATAAGAAATGTCTCTTGAACAGCAAATCAGCATATTAGAATGATGTCTGAAGGATCATATGACACTGAAATCTGTTAAAAATTCAGCTTTGCCATCACAGGAACGAATTATATTTTAAGATTTATTGAAATAGAAAACTGTTCATTTAAATTGTACTAATGTTTACTGAATTTAATTTAATTTAAAAAATGCAGCCTTGGTGAGCATAAGAGACCTTCAAAAACATTGAAAATCAAACTCAAACTTTTGAATAATAAAATTTAAGGTAGAAATTGTTTATTTTTAGTGCAATCTCTCTAAAAGTGCAGTCCTTTTTATGTACAATCTAAAAAATATTGGGTTGTTTTGATCCAGATATTGGGTTGTTTTGATCCAGATACTGGGTTGTTTTGATCCAGATATTGGGTTATTTTGATCCAGATACTGGGTTGTTTTGATCCAGATATTGGGTTGTTTTGATCCAGATATTGGGTTGTTTTGATCCAGATATTGGGTTCAAAACAACCCAACCGCTGGGTTTGTCCCTTTTTAACCCAGCATTTTTTTTAGAGTGTAAATTAATGTAAAAATAAGATCTTTTGAAGAATAATAACCATACAGTTTTGGTTCCCATTGACATCCATTGATGAATTGACATGGACTAAAATACAACGGAAGTCAAAAGGAACCATAGCTGTTTGATTACCAACATTCTTCTAACTATCTTCCTCAGCATACAGGTTTGGATTGGCATGAGAGGGATGACAAACATTTAATTTTGGGTGAACTATCCCTTTAAAGAGTGTAAATTAATGTAAAAATAAGATCTTTTGAAGAATAATAACCATACAGTTTTGGTTCCCATTGACATCCATTGATGAATTGACATGGACTAAAATACAACGGAAGTCAAAAGGAACCATAGCTGTTTGATTACCAACATTCTTCTAACTACCTTCCTCAGCATACAGGTTTGGATTGGCATGAGAGGGATGACAAACATTTAATTTTGGGTGAACTATCCCTTTAAAGTTTCTTTCTTCAGCTGAGCATAAAATAAGTTTTTTGAAGAATGTTTGGAACCAAACAATTGACGGTAGCCATTGACTCCCATAGCATGAAAAAAAAATACTATGGAAGTCAATGGCTACCGTCAACTGTTTGGTTCCAAACATTCCTCCGAATATCTTCTTTTGTGCTCAACTGAAGACAGAAACTCAAGTTTGGAACAACTTGAATTTGTTGAATTTGAATTTGGAACAACTTGAGGGGGAATAAATGATGACAGGATTTTCATTTTTGGGTGGATGTCATTCTAAACTAATTGTTTGAGACAATTAGGTCATATCTGGTATAATCAGTGCACCATAGCACCAATACTTTTTCGTAAGGGCCTTGGTGAAAACTGGTAACTTCCCAAAGTGCAGAAAGTCACCTCCCTATAGGTTTTGAGACCCAGCTATTGTCGTGCTAATCACTGTATGACTTTCCTGAAAGCTTTATGAGTTGTCCATGAGTCCGGCTAATACATGTTGGCACTGTTTTTAGATGCTGGCCTCTCATGCACTGGTGCGGGGACTGCAGTCTGGATTCTGGAGGAGGGTGTCAACTTCATCTGCCGCCTGGGCTACACACACTCACAGCACACTCAGCACACTCTCAAGGGCAATAATAGAGACCACTCTGCTGTCATTCACATCTATCCATCTATCTATCTATCTATCTATCTATCTATCTATCTATCTATCTATCTATCTATCTATCTATCTATCTATCTATCTATCTATCTATCATCTATCCATCCATCCATCCATCCATCTATTTGGACAGATACTTTCAAACCCTTTACAGTTCTCTGACTGTTCTTGTGCATTTGTCCTCAGATGTTGATGTGGTTGACTGCTCAGTTCCTCAGTAAAACAGCCGTCTGGACACGCCATTGCCAGATGTTCCATTTGTCAGAAATCTCAGTGCCGAACAGAAGAAACTCAAAGAGAAAGAGAAGGGATCATGGACCCAGCTCACCAAGGAGGAGAAACTAGCTTGTAAATCTGCATGACTTAGACCAACTTTTAGCTTTTTAATCTACTGCTTAATAAGCAAATAAATCAGTCATAAATCTACTATTGTTACAAGAACAGGTTAGACTTTGACCCTGGGTGTGGAGGAAACTGTTACACACTCACAGAGCACCTGAATATTTGTCTTTACAATAGGTATAAACATGCTCACATGTCATTTTTTACTGAAAGTAGAAGTAGGTACTGTAATGAAAATACGATATACAGTAGCATTCAGAAGTCTGGGGTTAATAACATTTTTAAGACAAGATAAGAAATTAATACTTTTATTCCACAAGGACACATTAAATTGATCAAAAGCAACAGTAAATACTTTTATATTGTGTAAGATTTTTAAATGGTTGTGTATATTATTATAACTTGATATTTCATAAATGTTTTATCATATTAGCTACTTTATATTTAATAGAGAGTATATATATATAATTCTGGATATAAGGGTACATATACTTTATTTAGTGTTGCTCTTAGTTGGACAGTTATGAAGAACAGCTTTTTTAGACTGCATTGCTTACTTTAGCTATTATATTATATTATATTATATTTTGTATATTTGTACATTTTCTATATTAAATTATATTTGTATAATTTCTTTTGATTTTTATTATATTTATTTCAGTTTTATATTCCTTTGTGATGTATAATATATTCTTTTACCTGGGTAAGATCCCTCAAGGCTAAATTATTAATATAGTAAATGGGTCATGGATCTTGGGAATTACAATGATTATGGCAGATATGTTAATACTTCACACTCATTTGGCCTCAGGTATTAAAAGTTCTTTCCCACTAGATGGCAGCGTAGTATAAGTGTTTGAGTTGAATGGTTGTAAACCTCCTTGCCTTCCAAGTGTGCATGCAAGCAGGGCAAGCTACTATATCCAACAGTTACTATTAAGATCATCTGTGGGGGGGGGGTCCACTTTTTTTGCAGTATACAGACTCACACATGAGCTGTCATATGCAGAGATGAGGCAAGGCTCCAAAGAGTGGATGACTGTCCTCGGAGGCATCTTCATCTTCCTTGGCTTCACAGGGCTGCTGGTGTGGTGGCAGCATGTCTATGGTGGGTTTATATATGAAGATATACATCCTCTAAATGGCGCATAATGGTTTTTGATTACCAGATTATCATGGCAGGAAAGCTTTAAACGTTTGAATTTCAGGCATTTCTTCATTCCCGATATGCTATGCTTTGATGTGAGATTCAGATGGGTAATTTTGTTGATGATTTATTTATTCATCCAATCTGAAATCAGAAACAGTTATCAAATACAAAATCAACATAACAGATTGGCTTCTGCGAAATTAAAGGGATAGTCCATGCAAAATATTTCCTCACCCTCATGTCATTCCTAACCTGTATGTATTTCTTTCTTCTGTGGAACACAAAAGAAGATAGTTTGAAGAATGTTGGGAAACATTTTTAGGTTCCATTGACTTCCATAGTATTTTTTTGTCCATACTATGAAAGTAAATGGATTCAAAACCATTTGGTTGCCAGTATTCTTCAAACTATCTTCTTTTGTGTCCCATTGACTTCTGTAGTATTTTTTGTCCATACTATGGAAGTCAATGAGACCTGAAACTGTTTGGTTGCCAATATTCTTTCAAATAATTTCTTCTTTTTTTGTCCCATTGACTTCCATAGAATTTTTTGGTCCATACTATGGAAGTCAATTGGACTCAAAACTGTTTGGTTGCCATACTCTTCAAAATATTTTTTTTGTGTCTCATTGACTTCCATAGTATTTTTTGTCCATATGAAAGTGAATGGGACCTGAAACTGTTTGGTTGCCAATATTCTTCAAAATATCATCTTTTGTGTTCCGTGGAAGACAGAAAGTCATACAGGATTGGGACATCATGAAGGGGAGTAAATGATGACAGAATAACATTTCACTAAGGCCCAAAACCACGCTTAGAGTTCATTTTCACTTGGATTTAGTTCTTTTTTTCCCTTTTCCTCTAATGTGACCACCAGTTCTCAGAGCACAGATCGTTCTGATTTCACATGTCAGATGGAAGAATCAGCACAACCTTTTTTACCTGCAGCACACACTCCCGCTGAAATAATTGGACTGGGTTGTATTTTGCTGTCAATGGTTTGAAGGAGCGGAAAAGAGGGGAAAGATTTACGTGTTTGAGCCGCAGCTTCAGTTCAGGAATCCCTTCAGACCCAGCTGAACTTCTTCACAAATGATAAGAAGATTTCCAAGGCTGTGTGTGCCTAAGACGGATGGAAAGCAGTTGACATGTTTAAAACAGAATGAGTGTGCATTGTGTGTTTGTGTGTTAGTATAAGTGTGTGAGTGGAAACAGACGAGTCTCCTCCATCTCTGTCTCGGAGGCCCCAGTTCTTTGAGGAAGGAAGTCAATGCTACATCACCTCAGGAGAGAAGCAGTAGAGGAAAATACTGCAAGGAGGGAAGAAAAAAGAAAAACTGTGAGAACAAAAGTTTGGTGAGGATCCTTGAGGGGGGAGAAAGAGAGGTGTAGCCACGCCATAGCGAGAAAGAAGTATAGAAGTCCAAAAGTCAGTTTTCAGTTGAGCGCTGGGTATTTCCCACAATGTCTGTCTCATGTTGTGACTTGAAAAACTCTACTCTGGTCCGCTGTTCGTCAAACTCATTAGGGCTGGGTATTAAGACTTGTCTGAGGTTGACTATAGCAATTGTCGGGATTTAAAGAGGAGATGAAAGGGGCAATTTTTTTGGAAAGCCACCTGGGATACAGTCACACCACAGGTTTTAATTCTGGGGTTTGCAAGCATCTGTGCCCCACAAATCCTCGAAAACTGAACAGAATTTCCTGTACATACCTCAGGGCACATGCACTGACTCCACCTGGCGAAAACAAAATTCATAATCTTTTTGATGTGTTTGTGTGACAGAAACTGTCACTGTAAAAAATGATTGTGATTTTAACAGTAAAAGACTATAAAATGCTACAGTTAAAACCTGTTAACTGGTTAACAGTAAGTCACCGACTATATTCGGTGAATAAATGTAATTACATTTAATGTAATTTTACAGTAAAATACTGTTAAAAATAAATTTTTTGGAAGTGAAAAAGAAAACGTCATTGTATAATTTACAGGGACAAACCGTAAATTGACACTCCCAGAATTCCCTGCATGACACTTCATATTTGATGTTTTTTTTGTTGTTGAAATAACATGTTTCTTCTTAGTTTTTTCTTATCAGTTATCAGTGTACATTAGGGTTTAATCTTAAATCAATGTTTATTGCATTATTTCAGTATCATGTGTGTCCCCGTGATGGGGTTTAGTGTTAGTGTGAATGACACTGTGCACCTTCTATATATAAGCACTGCCCTCCTCAGCTCGTAGAAGCTGCCTGTGATGAGCTTTGGTTCATCATGTGACTTTCTCATCACCACCAGTTTTTGGTGGTTATCAGTGCATTACAATGGTTCAAAACAGATATTAGTACTTCAATTTGTTGGTTTATTAACATTACATCAGTTAATGAAATACTGTATTTTATTGTGAATTTAAGTTAAGCCTGTAAAACCTAAAATGTTGCTACCATATTTTTTACGGTGAAGTTCTGGCAACCACAGTTACCGGTTTTTTTCCGTAAATGTCCCCGTTTTTTTTTTTTTTTTTTTTGCAGTGTACTGTCTGCCTTGAGGGATCTCAGAAGGGGAGATGCCCTTGAAAAAAAATTACATAGTATAAACCGAATACCAGATATACAGTCTGAGTCCACACTGAGAATCTGGGATTCAAAATTTAAACCTGAAAATAAACAAATGTACAACAAAGAAATATTATGAGGTAAAATCAATATGAGGACTGCTGTCATTATAGCAATAATGCAATAAATTCTATGTTTATGAATAAATAATTGATTTATTGTGAAATATTATTAAAATTTTGAATAATTGTTTTCTAGCGTAATGTGATTTATTCCTGTGATGGCAAAGCAGAATTTTCAGCAGCCATTACTCCAGTCTTCAGTGTCACATGATCCTTCAGATCATCATCATTCTAATATGCTGATTTGTTGCTCAAATTATTATCAATGTTGAAAACAGTTCTGCTGATTAATAGTTTTGTGGAAACAGTGATACACTACTGTTAAAAAAAAATTAAATTAATACTTTTATTCATCAAGGACATATTAAATTGATCAAAAGTAAAAGACATTTATAATATTACAAAAGATATTTATTTCAAATAAATGCTACTCTTTTGAACTTTCTATTCATCAAAGAATCCTGAATTTTTTTATCATGGTTTCCACAAAAATAGTGTGCAGCAAAAACTGTTTACAAAATTGATAATAAATTGATAATAAAAAGAGTAATGAATAATAATTGGTCATCAGTTGAGCAACAAATTAGTATAGTACAATCATTTCTGAAGGATCGTGTAACACTGAAGACTGGAGTAATGGCTGGTGAAAATTCAGGAAAAAATCATTTCAATTTTATAATGAGATCAATAAGAAAAATGTTATTTTTTAATTAATATTTTTCAATTCAAATTTATATTATGCTGATAATATAAAACTAAAAAAAGATAATAGAAGCATTTTTATAATAATAGTAATAGAAGCGAGTGGATTTTTGAACTGCAACTGCAAACCTGAAATGCAACCTTTTTTTGACCGAGTACATTTGCATGTTTATTGGTTCTATTTTTACATGAACCAGGTCTGTGATATTAGCAGACAGGTCTGTGCATGTTGCGCAGACACAATGTTTTTTCTCTAATTTGTTTACTTTTTTTTTTGGTCCCGTTTTTGCCTGGAGGATATAACTCCACAGAAGTGTCTGAGCTGTCGGTTTCTGCCCTCTGTTAGGACACCTAATTGGTCGCTATGTGCTATTGGGTTTTTTATTTTGCTGACAGGTCTACAGTTCCACTAAGGGGGAAAATAGAAGGGGATTTTCCACAATTAACTGTTTTTCACACCCGACACCCCCATTTTTTTCTTTTACACTTTTAAAATGATTTATCAGTGTTTTATCTTAAGCTTTTAGAACTCTTAATAAATTATTCATTATTCTGTGAAACAAACAAATGAATGAATGAATGTAAGGGCATTTCAAAATTGCTTGTTTTTACAAACAAAAATACAATTCAAATTTGTGCTGTCAATAGATCTTAAAGTTATAGCTTTAAGTACATAACTTAAAATTAAAATTCCTATACAAGATTGCGAATAATTGATGACAGAATTATAAAATTTGGGGGAACAACTTGTATTTTACACAGGAATATTACTTTAACTCTCTTTCTTAATGTCACCAATGTTGTTTTTCTCTTTCTCACAGTGTATGGTGATGTTCCGCACACTCTGTCTCAAGAGTCGGTTGCTCAGCAGACGCAGAGGATGATAGATATGAGAGTGAACCCCGTCCATGGATTCTCTAATAAGTGGGACTATGAAAAGGAACAGTGGAAATAAATGCATTCCGCCTTAATTATTAAAAATGTATCAGAATTGCATTAATGAGATGTTCCAAACTCAATAATGCTGTGCAACCAACAGCCTTAAAATATATGTGAATCTAAATAAATGCACTGAATTCAACTCTGAGCTGCTTCAGTATTTTGGCTTGGTACTGTTGTTACTGAGAACAAAGCAGTTGTGTTGGCACATTTAACCTGATACCTGACTACCGTGGAAGTGAATATGTGTTAACGTGATTGGCTGGGGCAGATAGTGCGAGAGAGTGTGTTATTGGCTGAGGTGTGTGAGTTAATCCAATCACTTTCCAACTGCGTAAAATGACTTTTTATGACCGTGTGTCTGTGTAAAAGGGAAAGCATATCTTAGGTGCTCATTTACTCCACATTTTCCATCATTTTGAAAAGCTTTAGTACAGTTCACATAAATAGTTCTGTGTGTCAAATAAATTTTTGTTGCTCCAGTGTTTAAAACAGTTTTAGAAGAAAGAAGTCACACATTTGTCACTGCTTGAAATGTCATATCAGCTAAGTAGACACACTGCTCATTAGGTTCAGTGGTTAGTATAACCACTAACAAGTGAATTTAACATCAGTGATTTCAAGTAGTACTTTTGACCTTTCCTAAAAGCTTTTCAAATTGCTCATTTAACTGCTTCAGTTAAAAAGGCAATAGCATCATTTATTATTTTAATGGATTATAACTACTCAGAAATTATTATTCCCATCATTTGCATGACTATATGACTCTAAAAAATGCTGGGTTAAATATAACCCAGCGCTTGGTTAAAAAGGGACAAACCCAGCTATTGGGTTGTTTTGAACCCAACCCAATAGCTGGGTTTGTCCCTTTTTAACCAAGCGCTGGGTTAAATATAACCCAGCATTTTTTAGAGTGTCTATATATATATATATATATATCTTTGTATTCTTTGAATATTGTGTTCTTTTGAATACTTTGTATTCATCAATAAATCCCGAAAAAAATGCATCACAGTTTACACAAAAATACTGAGCAGTAAAAACTTTTCAACATTAACAATAAAATGATTTTTCTATTATTAATAATTGGTCATCAGTAATAACTGATAATAACTGAAAAAAGCAGCAAATCAGCATATTAGAAAAATCATGAAGAATCATGTGAGAATGAAGTCTGGAGTAATGGCTCATTTTTAATAATGATAATAATATGATTTATTTAATTAATTATATTAATTATATATTAATAATTATAGATAGACAAGTTTGATATAATATTTTCATATCTATCTATCTATCTATCTATTATAGCCTACACACATTCAAAACCAGACGTTTGAACAAAATATGTTGCGACGCACTTTGGTTCCCCTACTGGAAATTTATTTGTCAAAATGTGAGAACCGTGTACTTAAAAAAACACCTCAAATATGAGTCATGATGAGGGAATACTGAAAAAGAAGCTTTGACAAAGCTGAAAGGAATGAAAAGAAGTGCACTTCAAACACAAACTCAGACACCATAAACACTCTTCATCTGGAGAGTCCTGCTACCTTTTTTTTTCTTCTTCCTTTATTAGGATTAGCAACAAGTATACAAAATTATACAACCCTAGTAACAACAAAAATCACAAAACAAAATGAAATTTAAAAAACAACAACAACAAACATACAGGGCCAGGGGTAATATAAATTACATTGTATAAAGTCAAGGTGCCTCAAAAGGCACTTTTTAACAACCAGGCAAAAGGTCACAGAGCATTCAGTCAACTGTACATTATAGGAAAGAACCAATATTATAAAATGCACACAATGTTATCGATTTTAAGGCTTTAACATTGCTGGAGGTAGATATTGTTTCCAAGTAATACTTCAGATCTTTACAAAATATAAGAAATAGGGGCTTTACAGACAAAAATTTGCACTTATGTATAAAAGATTTTGCTAGCAAAATAAATAGATTTATTAGAAAATATTTGTCCTTTAGATTCTTATCAACATCCTTGAACAACAAAGAAAAATTGTCTAAGAGAGAAGAACGTATAAATAAACTGATTTTTTTCCAAAAAATGGTTACATGGGTACATTCCCATCTGGAGAGTCCTGCTACCTTTTTTTTTCTTCTTCCTTTATTAGGATTAGCAACAAGTATACAAAATTATACAACCCTAGTAACAACAAAAATCACAAAACAAAATGAAATTTAAAAAACAACAACAACAAACATACAGGGCCAGGGGTAATAAAGAGGATCCTTCTCCGGAAGCATTTTTTTAATTGAAACATTCACAGGGTAAACTCCATGTAGCAATTGAAAGGATACCTCTTTAACCTTTATATTTATTGGGTAACGGCCACACACTCTTCCAAGGAATATCATAAAGATAATTACTCCAGTGAAATACAACAGAAGGAACAGCAGTTATATCATTCTGAAAAAGATGTTGAATCTTTCTATTCCTGAAAGAAGGGCTGAGCGTAAAGCAAATTTTCCCTATCACTGTTTCACAGGGATTAGTCAGGGAAATAAAGGAGGGTACAGAATCAACAGAGTTTTTTAATAGTGCAATAGCTCCACTGGGAATGGCGTCCATAACTACACTATAAAAAATGACCGTGAATTTATCGGTAAAAGACCTGTTTTACATGGTTAACGGTAAATTCCCCTACTATATACGGTGCAAAATGTATTGGACATAAATTTTACGGTAGTATACCGTTTTTGGAAGTGAAAAATACCGTATAATTTACAGTGAATAACCGTAAATTGACATTCCCAGAATTCCCTGCGTTATATTTCAAATTTGATGTTTTTTTGTTGAAATAACTATGTTTCTTTTTTGTTTTTTCCTATCAGTTTTCTATATTAGGGTTGTGTGTTACACCTAATGTTGTTAAATGAATGTTTATTGCATTATTTCAGTTTCATGTGTGTTACAATGATGGTGTTTGGTGGTTGTGTGAATGACACTGTGCACCTTCTATATATGTTATTATGTAAAAGCTGCTTGTGATGGGCTTTGGTTCATCACGTTTGGTTCATCATGACTTTCTCATCACCACCTGCATTAGGTGGTTATCAGTGTATTACAAAGGTACAAAACAGATTTCAGTACTTCAATAAGTTGGTATATTAACATTATATCAGTTAATGAAATTACGGTATTTAACTGTAAATTTAAGTTAAAACCGTAAAACCTAAAACGTTGCTACCGTATTTTTTACGGTAAAATTCCGGCAACCACAGCTGCCGGTTTTTTACAGTGTATGGCAAAATCACGTGGGGTGACAGGAATACAATATTTTCTTAACTCAGAATAAGCAAGTAAATAACCATTACTATTTAAAAGCTGAGAAACCAAAAAAAAAAAAAGATTTTTAAACCAATCAGGAAAAAATATAGATTTATTTTTATAACAGATATCATGGATAAAATAACGCTGGGGACTGAAGTTGTGTTTATATATTAAGTTCCAGGTCAATAGCATCTGCTTGTGGAAGTTTGATCATTTAATAGGTAGTTTAGAGATGTTATAATGACATACCAACAAAAAGGGGAGACCGTCCTAGTAGGCTACTACGCCAAAAGCAATGAATGGTGTGACGTAGAGGAAGTGCTGCCCCAGCAGAGCGAGTATCTTCAGTGTAGCCTATAGTTCCAAAAGCGTTCTAGCGTCGCTTCAATGAACGCGCCAGCCTCGATGCCATTCGTCGGCGCTTCATTTCTGCACGATCCGTGCCGCGCTTTGGAAAAACTGCATCTTGCCAAAGAGCGTGGAAATCTACTTGCACATTTTACACACAGCAAAAGTGCTTCTTCGTGCGCTGACTTGGTTGCTATTTTCTCTTCCGTCTTTCTGTGAGCTCGAATGTCAGTGGAATAATTAGAAATACAGCGTTTGCTTTAACTCTCTTCTTCGGCCTCGTAACGTCAACGACGTCGCCTCTCTTTTTTTCGCCCTTGGCTGGAGGTTCACTGGAATATAAGCGCTGTGATTTCGAGCGGTGAAGCGGCATTCCTCGCGCCGCGCTCGAGACGTGTGCGGATCTTGACCGCGCGCTGCAGCAACGGCCAATCCATCTATCTCCACACACCAGCGCGCGCTGGACGTGCAGGTTCGCTGACAGTTCTTGCTTTAAAGTGAACAAACAACGTTTTTGTGAGTCATAACCAATGAATGTGAAACTAAATCATACCATTTTCCTTAAAAACGTTTTTTTAATGAGAGAACTCTCAGCGACGCCATGTGAATGTGTCATTTTTCGGAGCTCTTCTCTGTGAGAGAACGTTTTTTCCGTTACGATGTACTTCGAATAACCGACTTTTTCCTGCTCGCGCTCGTTTTATCGCGTTTAATAACGATGGCCACCGAAATTCGCTTTGACAATCGGAATATTGTGGAGAAATACATCAATCACAAACTTTCAAAGAAGGGATATGTGTGGAAATCGCAATCTTCTGGGGAGGATGATGACACCGTCGATAAAGGAGTCGAGGGGTCCTCTCTAAACTCTGACAGGAGGCTTCAGGCTCCCTCAGCCGGAGGGGGGAACAACTCTGAATGCCTGATAGCTCACCGGGTCACTCGTTCAGACCCTTATTCAAGGATCTACCGGGCGCTACGCGAGGCTGGAGACGAGATAGAAAGGATATACCAGCGTGAATTTGAGGAGATGTCCCACCGCATGATATTCAGTCCCAATACAACGCAACGCAGCTTCTTAGCCGTGGCAGAAGAGCTCTTTATAGACGGAGTGAACTGGGGGCGGATCGTCGCTTTCTTTGAGTTTGGTGGGACCATGTGTGTGGAGAGCGTCAACCGGGAGATGGCGTCCCAGGTAGATAATATTGCACACTGGATGACAGACTACCTGAACGGGCCTCTGGAAAACTGGATCGAGGAAAATGGAGGCTGGGTAAGTTTATGGTCAAATGGTCGTGACCTTTGCTCAGTCGTTTATTACTTTTTCTTTGCAGCTGAAGCTTGAAATCATAATAACACAGTCTTGTTAAACACCGAAGACTCGTGCAGTTTTGTTTACTATCACCTGTTAGTATGTAAACAAACTGTCATTACTTTCTGATTCTGATGAGGCCAATGTGTACATTACATCCTAAAGTTGTTGTGCCTTTGAGTTCAGGTCTTGTCACTGAGGCCTCTTAAATGCTGACAAACTTGTCAAATATAGACATAAAAACATTTTCTCTTGGAAAAAAAAGGGACAAAAATATTGATTTTTTTTAGCTTGTAATGTACAGAATACTAGTCCAATCTAGTATGAGAATTTCCTGCCTCTAATATAACCTGCAGCTGACTAGCAGGTACCGCAATTCATGTTTACGGCTGTGACCTAGCTAAAGGCTATTAGATTATTTAAAATATGTACCATTTAAACTTCCTGTTTTAGTTGGAAGTATGCCATCACTAGACAAAAAAAATTAATTCGATTCATGGGGGCTTTACGGTGTGCAAGTTTGAGTAGTTAGACTTTAACAGTATAAGACAACGCAATGGGTTCATCTCATTGCGTCTGCAGTGCTATTTAGTAGTAATGGGATAGTTATTTGAGTTGGACTGGTTTGAATTTAGTCAGCTTGGTTTTTAACAGTTCAATCAAGGTGAAAGTGATAGTTCAATCAATGTAAGCCACACCCCTCTTATGTCATGTAAAAAGTTTTTTTTTGAGGTAGACACACTTTTTCTCAAGGGCATGTGACTTGTGCATGCTAGGTCATTATGAATTCTTAATGATTGTTTGGTAGTAAATAATTTCAGCACAGATGTAAAAATGTTATGGTCAAATAAAACACTGTAAGGTAGAGAGATGTTTTTATAAAAGATAGAGAAAGATGTTTTTCGCTGGAGGTACCGGTATATAACATTTTTAATTCTAATATGTTCATTTTAAGTATATTAATGGATATACATTTAAATATCTATATATATTAATTTATATATATATATTATATTAATTATAATTATATATATATATATTATATTAATAAATTGTATTAATTCATTATATATACTGTCTGATTAAAAACAAGCAAACATTTTAATTACAAATAATCACAAATTATGTTTATATTAAATATTTATTTATAATTATAATAAAATATGTTTTATTATAAAAATATAAATAATAGTAAAGAAACAAATGTTAAATAGTCTTTATATTTTTCTCAGTTTCATATATATATACGAGTTTGGAGTGTGACTGTTTGAGGTTGTGGACAGGTGTCTTTTATACTGATAACAAGTTCAAACAGATGCCATTAATACAGGTAACGAGTGGAGGACAGAGGAGCCTCTTAAAGAAGAAGTTACAGGTCTGTGAGAGCCAGAAATCTTGCTTGTTTGTAGGTGACCAAATACTTATTTTACCGAGGAATTTACCAATTAATTCTTTAAAAATCCTACAATGTGATTTTCTGGATTTTTTCCCCTCATTTTGTCTCTCATAGTTGAGGTATACCTATGATGAAAATTACAGGCCTCTCTCATCTTTTTAAGTGGGAGAACTTGCACAATTGGTGGCTGACTAAATACTTTTTTGCCCCACTGTATATGTATAACTATTATTAAATTATAATACATACATAATGTCAAAAATATTTTTATATGTATACAAAACTGGATAAAGTATAGGTGTATGAAACTGGACAAAAAGTTTACTGTTCAATTTTTGTTTCGGGATTGAAGCCTCTCAGGTAAAACATGAGCTGTATGACCCCATTGGCATGCCCTTTTTTAAAATTCCAATTATCATTCCTGGTTGGTGACTTTCATTCAAATTTAATGGTGCAGCAGTCAAATATTATAGAGCATATGTTCTCATTTATGCTACCCCTACTCTAAGTTGTAACTTACAAACATGTCTGGTGCAGCTGGACCCTGGTGGGTTGTTTTTAAAAAGAAATGAAATCTGGCACGTGTAAAAACCGAGTAAATCCACGAATGCCCAACTCCCTAGTCAAAACAAGTAAACACTTTTTATTCCTTCTTTTTCTCTATAGAATCCTTGTTTTAACACTATCCTTCACTCTCACTGCAGTGCTTCTGTGCTGAATTATTTACGGTATAAATTGGAGCAGCCCATCACAGTTGTGTTGTTCCTGTATGGGTGGACTGACTCCACCCTATTCATACGCAGCGCAGCATCTCAGAATCCCCAGTCTGAGATGAGGAGACCATCTGTGTCCTCCAAATCAAGAACTGAACTACGTTATGTGTGTGTAATATTAGATAAAAAGGGTCAAATAGTGTAAAATTGCAGTTTGGGAATCTTGTCTCTTTCCATTCAAATAATCAACCATGTGAGCATGGTATATTAAGAGATTGTACAGTCTTCTTCAGACTGCAGACTAGAGGTTAGCCTAGCTTCTCCACTGTCTGGTACAGATTTGCAGGTGGCCCAGCAGAGCCATTATTCCTGTCTGGACGAAAGGTGTGCTGGGGCTGAATTGATGGTGGTCATTACTCACCACATCTGCTGCAGGTTAGACCGACTCAAATGGCTTATGATAAAGTGAAGTACAGGAAGAGCATTTCAGATCGACTGCCGTACACAAACACTGCCGTCCAGACGCAATCCTTATTTCATTATTTTAAAGGTCAATTGTAATGAATAGGTGGTTGACTATTGTAGCTATATAGTGATGCATGACTGTATCAAGTCCATCATGTGAAGAGATACAATGCAATTAGTACACAATTAGCAGAGAAGCATTTTAATAAGCCTTTAACACGTGCCTGCATTATTCACAAAGCTCAGCACTTTTGTCCAGAGGCGATAAATGATTAATTTATTTCATTTAGTCATGAAAAGCATTAAGACTGTTATTGCTGAGAGAATTGGCTTGCTCGTGAGAGTTATATATTACACTGAGTCTGTCATTAACTCTTCTTTAAATGTAGGATTTGTTTTGAAGCATCAGTGGGGATGCAGCCAGTAAAAATACTACTATAAGCTGTACTTGAATGTAACCATGTTCAGTTACTCTGTATAAAGTTCAAGTGACTCAGGTAATGGAAGAAGAAAGCGTATCACAATTCTAAAGTCAAGTGTTTTGTGGTTTTCATTTCCCGCATTAGAAGGGCTTCCCATTTGCCCTAAATTGGTCAGATGGCTTTACTTCTCTGCCAGAAAGAAATGTCCTCTCCTCCCATAGTTAATCCTGACTTATTATCCTCCTTTTGAATGAATGTGATTCATTAATCCTTGGATAAAGCCTGTCTGTGGAGAATACATGATTCAGCGGTACTACAGCACTCTGTCTTATTATTATTTTTCCATGCCCCTTGCAGGGATACCCCGTTTACCCAGCATGCCTTTAAGATCATCGTCTTACTGTACTTCAGTCACTGTCACAAGTTAAAATTGACTTAAAGACTTTTAAAAACATGTTCTGTTCATGTAGATGGTCTTTTGTTTATACAGTTATAGACTGTTGACAAGGGACATAATTAAATTGGCTCTTTCAGATTGCCAAATTAATGTACTTCTTCTAAAGGACGGAAGTTAAACATGCCGTGCGTCATAACTGATGTAAAATAATAATTATTATTGCAGCTAAATAAGAAATGGCTTGCATGAGGCTGGAAACTGAATTAGCAGTCTTGTGCTGCTTGGAAAGTTTTCCATAATCCATTTTGGCCTCTCTTGTGACCCTTAACTAAAAATAGCCACCTGTAGAGGTGTTTTAGAGGTGATCGCAACAATAGACTCTTGGCTACTTTACCTGCCTTTATCCCTTTTCCACAAAACAAGAAAAGAACGTCCTATAGATGTTACTCAGATTTCATTCTGTATGGAAACACCTTTTCCAGAACTCTGGCAGCTTATTGAATGTTTGCACATACAATATCACACACTCTATAAAGTCTACATCATGTAATTTTCACAACTCACCCCTTTCAAAACTCTATGATAGAGTTTTTGTTTACATAATTTTTTAGGAAAGACATTTCGTCAGTTGAACAGTCGGTATGTTGTTAAATAACAGGACAATCCATTGAACACAGCTATATTTCTGTCCCTCAGCCTAATTTCCATTCCTGTCAAAAAGAAAATATGCACTACCCTGGCTAAGGTCTGCAATGTAGGCGGTTTGTCATGTACTGTAGAAAAATGCAAATATTTAAAACACACTCGTCATCTTTTTATATATGAATTTGTCGAGAATGTTACATTAAAACAACTTTTTGAAACTGTCTAATTACTTGTTTAATGTGTTTAACAGAAGCTGTATGAGTGTAATGTAGGTCCATTGCCTCCTTCCAAAATTTGACAGCATTGCACGTGGCAAAACAGAGCAGATGCTCAGACAGTTAGGACTTCTGGTTTGCAAAATGCTTAATGAGCTTTCTCATTACTGTGTAACCGCTTTGAGCTAGCTCATTTAGCATGCTCTTTTTTCACCCACTCAACAAATTGATGTTTACTGTTATCTTAATTGCCATGTTAGTGTTGAGGTGTAGGTAAAGATGTAGCTCTTTTGGTTTGGTGAACTGAGATCAAGTGCAATGTGTCCCAATGCACAACATTCTTAATGATCTCCCACTTATTGTTGAGATTGAATAGAGCTATTAACAAAAAGTCAATCTGCAGTTTATGTAAGGTTCAGCATAAACCTTCATAGCTTATAGTCTTAATATCCTCGTGACTTCCGGAGGCAGCCTGGCATATGATGTGTATTGTTTAACTCTGGCCCCCATTCAGATAATGAAATCAGTCCGTGCGTAAGTTTGTTTAGACAGACTACAATTGCGCAGGTGCTCACCCACACACACCACATACCTGCGGTTCATTACAGGTTTCTGGCTGTGTACAGTACACTGCTGATTCTCATGCCTTAGAGGCGTGTTTGACCCCACCTGGGTCTTTTGTTAGTGGGTGTTGCGTTGTGGGGCGTT